CCAGAGGAAATCAGAGGATAGCCAGAGCTTGCTACCTCAAGCTAACAAGGCCGGCCGAAAGGGAAGGACAGAGGATAGACACCATTACGGCCGCCGTCGCCATGAACGAGGAGAGGCCACATGCGGAGCCGGCCGAGGAGGTCGAGGAAATCCCTCTGGATACCTCCCGGCCGGAGCGGGTTCTCAGGGTCGGAAAGCAACTCCCCCAGAACCAACGAGACGCCATCCTCCTCGTCCTACGGTCATACGCCATCGTCTTCGCGTGGGGCCCGGACGATATGCCAGGCATCAGCCGCTAGGTGATCACTCACCGGCTGACCGTCGATCCGGCCTCCGCGCCTGTCAAACAGAAGCGGCGCTACTTGTCCGCCGACAGGCGGGACTTCGTCAAAGGGGAGGTCGCCATGCTCCTCTCAATCAGACACATCAAAGAGATGAAGTACCCGACATGGTTGGCCAACGTCGTCCTCGCACAAAAACCGCCGACGTTCAGAATGTGTGTTGACTACACTGACCTGAACAAGGCGTGCCCCATGGACCCGTTCCCTCTCCCCAACATTGATCAGCTGGTGGACGAGACGGCGGGGTGCGAGTTGATGTCGTTCCTCGACGCTTTCAGAGGGTACCACCAAATCTCCATGCATGAAGATGACGCTGAGAAGACGGCATTCATGACCCCAGAGGGAATCTTTTGCTACCTCGTCATGGCCTTCGGACTCAAAAACTCCGGCGCCACCTACACTAGGATGGTGGCCAAGATCTTCAAAGCGGTCCTTGGCCGGACAATGGAGGCGTACGTCGACGACATGATCGTCAAGAGCAGGCAGGCCACCTCCCACGCCGACGACCTCCGGGAAATCTTTGAAATAATGAAGGAGTTCAAGCTCCGGCTCAACCCCAAGAAGTGCGCCTTCGGCGTCCAGGGTGGCAAGTTCCTCGGCTACATGGTCAGCCGGAGAGGCATCGAGATAAACCCGGAGAAGACGCAGGCTATCATCAACATGGAGCCGCCCCGCAACGTCAAGGAGGTACAGCGACTGACGGGGCGCCTGGCGGCCTTAAACCGGTTCCTCTCCAGGTCAGCCGAGAGGGCACTCCCCTTCTTCCAGATCATGCGCAAGGCAAACAACTTCAAGTGGACAACGGAGTGCCAGGAAGCATTCGACGAATTGAAGAGGTACCTGTCGTCCCCACCCGTGCTCTCCAAGCCCAGAGCCGGCGAAACCCTCTTCTTGTACTTAGGGGTGAGCACGTCGGCCATCAGCTCCGTGCTCATCCGTGAGGACGAAGGGGTGCAGAAGGCCATCTTCTACATCAGCAAGACACTCAGGGAGGCTGAGCTCAGGTACTCCCCCATTGAGAAGACGGTGCTGGCCATTGTCCACACCGTGAAGAAGCTGGGGCACTATTTCCAAGCCCACACCGTCCATGTGCTGACCCAGCAGCCTCTTGGCGCGCTCATGAGGAGCCCCACTAGCTCCTCGAGGATGGTGAAATGGGCGATCTTCCTCAGCCAGTTTCAGATTGAGATCAAGCCAAGGCCATCTATCAAAGGGCAAGCCTTGGCCGACTTCGTCATTGAATGCACAGCAAGGGAGTCGGCCGTCGCCAACTCTGGGCCGGAGCCGGACGATACGTGGACCCTGTTCACTGACGGCTCGTCGGCCGCGAAATCTTGCGGCGGCGGCGGCGTCCTCATATCCCCTGAAGGATTCAGAGCTTACTATGCCATCCGCTTCAACTTCAGGGTATCCAACAACGAAGCCGAGTATGAGGCCCTCCTCAGCGGTCTCAGACTCGCCGCCGGCCTCAAAGCCAAGCACCTCAAAATCAAGTGCGACTCCAAACTGGTAGTGGGCCAGGTGGAGGGATCGTACGAAGCCAAGGAAGGCCGGATGAAGCAGTACAAACAAGCGGCGGAGGAATTACTGAAAGCGTTTGAAACCCACGAGATCACTCAGATCCCAAGGGCCGAGAACGCCGAAGCCGACATCCTCTCCAAACTCAGCTCGGACACCCCGGAGCACATCTCCCAGTTGGCCAAGATCGAGGAGTTGAGCATGTCCAGCATCCATGCCAGCCCCATCTTGTGCGTCCAACAGCGACGCGAGGACTGGATATCCGACATCGCCACCTTCATCACAACAGGGGAGCTGCCCCCGGACGAGGAGAGGGCCAAACTTGCCAAACTCAGGGCCCCAAGCTACACCATCGAAGATGGCAAACTCTACAAACGGTCTTATAATGGCACCCTCCTCCGGTGCCTGCACCAGGACGAGGCCGACACAGCCATGGAAGAAGTTCATTGTGGCGTCTGCTCCTCGCACCAGGGCCCTTTCAGCATGTCCCGACGTCTCGTCGTCCAGGGCTTCTTCTGGCCGACGATGGCACGCGACTGCGCCGACCTGGCCAGGAAGTGCACCACATGCCAGGTGCTCCAGAAGGCCCCTGGTCGGCCAGCTGTTAACTACGCCCCCGTAAGCACCGCAATTCCATTCTCCAGATGGGGGATTGACCTGGTCGGGCCCCTGCCCAGAGCCGCCGGGAATAACCGCTACATCATCGTCGCCGTCGACTACTTCACCAAGTGGGTCGAGGCGGAGCCCTTGGCCAGCATCACAGGGGCCAGATGCCAAAGATTTGTTTACAAGAACATCATCACACGCTTTGGCGTCCCCCAGGAGATTATATCAGACAACGGCACCCAATTCGAGGCAGCCCCTTTCCAGGAGCTCCTCCGGGAGTTTGGGGTGAGGCACCGTTTCTCCTCCGTTGCCTATCCTCAGGGCAACGGGCAGGTCGAGAACGCCAACAGAACAATTATGGAGGGGCTAAAGAAGAAGCTCCAGGCCGCAGGAGGTAGTTGGGTCGACGAGCTCCCCAACATCCTGTGGTGCTACAGAACCACGCCGAGGAGGGCGACAGGTGAAACGCCTTTCGCCCTGTGCTACGACTTCGAGGCAAAGGCGCCCACAGAAGTTGCCATCCCCAGCCGACGGGTGGAACAATACGAGCCTGACGCCAATGAGGAAAGCATGAAGATTGACCTGCACCTGGTCGATGAGAGGCGTGAGCTAGCTTACGTCCGAGCAGAGAACTACCGGCGTCAAGTAAAATCATACTATGACGCCAAGGTACGTTCCCGGGAATTTCAGGTGGGGGACTACGTCCTCCGTCGAAGGGAAGCAAGCCAGCCGACAGAGGGTGGCAAGCTAGCATTGAAGTACGAAGGGCCCTACATCGTCAGTGCCGTGGTCAAACCCGGCACCTACAAGCTTAAACGCCCGAATGGGTCCAATGTACCACGAACATGGAATGTACACCGTCTGGTGAAGTTTTATCAGTAATCCGAAGGAGGTGTAGACGACGAAGCCCTAACCCCTTAACGGGTTACTGATTGAACGCCACCCTCGGCCTCGAGCCACTTATGAATAAAATCATGATTCTGATTTTTTCTCTGGAAATTCAAAGTAAAAGATTAGCAGGTGCCCTCGTCGGCCACCTTAGAGCGAAAGGCTCAGGTCTGGCCGACATGGCCCCTTGCATTTGCAGCCTACGAGCGACAAGCTCAGGCACTCCATTGTATTTTGTATCAGCGAAGGGCTCAGGCCTAGCTGAGAGAGCACATCGTCCTGGCCCCGTAAGCCTAGAAGTGAAACGCTCAGGTATGGCCGACGATGTCCCCAGGACGAGGGGCCCGCAAACGGCCCACGTCTTGAAACGGGAAGCTCACCGCGTCGTCCACGCGCCAGAACGCAGGACGACAGGCCTGAAATCATGACCGAGGTGACAAAATCCCAAAACTCAGGGATGGGCAACGACAGCCGTTGGAAACCGACCAAAAGTCTAGCCCGCGTCATAAATAGGCGACGGGACCCGCCCTGAGATCACGGACGTTATAAACGAAGTCCGAACCGGCCGAAGGACGAGCACACCCTTCGGCCGAAGCCTGAAAGAAGGATACCCCCGAAACAAAAAAAAAAAATAATACAAAGGAAAAAGAGGGAAGCCGACGGCCGCGCACACTAGCCGGCCTCGAGCAATGAAAAAATAAAATCCCCACAACTCAGGCCCGAATAGGCCAAGTACATATCAGTTGAACACAAGTGTAGCACCACTGACAGGTAACATGGACGACACGTCCACATACTACAAGGGAATAATCAAGCCTGAAACACACGCCTACAAAACCCTAACCGCATCGGTTGGGTGACAAGCGAGAGGTGACTTTCATCGGCCACAGTCCTTTGAGGCACCAACGCTTGGCATGAAACACAGAATCACAATCCTGAGGATGACCAGGACGAAGCGGGCACTGCACACACCCGCGGAAGAATAGCCGATACAGGCACTGGAACCAAGGCTGTTGGTCAAGCGAAAGTTCTCCAGGAATTGGTTCAAGTGTTTACCAAACACTTAGAAAAAATAAAAGAGGATTCCTCAACAAGGAACCATGGATGGCCGACGAAGGTAGGACCACCTCCTTGGCCGACAGCGGTACCGCAAAGAAGTAAATACCCGGCAATTACACTTGGAAAACCCTTGAAGAACTCAAGTGGAAGAACTCCGGACGAAGCGGGTACATATATATCCCAAGGCCGTATGCTACCTACGCCTTGCATAGGTACCCAGGAAAAACTCAAAGCCCAAAAGGCTAAGGTGAAGGTGCCCTTATCGGCCACAACACAGGAATGCAGGCCGACAAAGACACTGGTTCAGCACTTGGCAAATCACCCAAACCATCTGCCAATAATGCGGAGAGACTCAACGCCAGGACGGAGCGGACACCACGGTCAAGGCCGAAAGGAAAGCACCTAAGTGGATCCCAAAACACTTAGAAATTTTTTGAAAGAAATTCCTAAGTGTCATGATAGCAACGAAACATCGGTCAGGCCGACGAAGCCACCAGACCGGAAAGAAAGCAACTTCGTTGAAAAAATATCCTAAGTGTGATGGTACTGCATCAACACCAATCGGGCCGACAAGGCCACCAGGCCGGAAGGGAAGCAACTACACGAATCCAAAACACTTAGGAAATCTTCAAAAAAAAATTCTAAGTGTTAGGATAGTACAGATACGACGGTCAGGCCGATGAGGCCACCAGACCGGGAAGAAAGCAGCTCAGTGAGCCCAAAACACTTAGGAAATTTTAGAAAAAATTCCTAAGTGTTAAACAACGACGAACAAGCCGACCAGGTCACCGGACAGGGTGGACTACCCCATGGACGTAGCGGACAATCGCGGGTGACCCAAGTTATGACTTGACACTTAGACAATTTACAGAATCGAAATGACAAAAGACAAACAAGCATACAAGGGATCCAAAGCCGAAAAGGACAGCAAAAATTTCTTCAATTGATAGTGAGTTCATTACAATTGGGGGCACTTCGGCCGTTACATCATTTGGCAAAAAATGAAAATCTAATTACAACAGGGAATAGCCGATCAAGCCTCCGGGGCACCTTCATCCGCGGCTGGCTCTTCAACCTCGTCGGATCCCTCCTCGGCGGCCTCTTCGGCCTCGTCAATTCCCTCCTCGGCGGCGGCCGCAGCACTAGTGGCATCGTCCAGGAAGTCGAATTCAGTGTAGTCCGGCTCGCCGAGGCCGGAGCTTTCTATGGGGGACTCTCGCTCCGACAGCGGAAGCTTGGCCTGCTCTTCTGGATCCTTCATCAGCTTTGGCAGCTTCAGGTTCCGTCTAGCCCACCCAGACGTGTAATTCATGGCCTTCAACGCCCGGGATAGCCGCCGACACAGGAGCCTTTGCATCCGCTCCTGGCCCAGGTTGTAATAAACGGACATCTCCCGACTGAAATACTCCCGGCCGGTGGGGGAGTTCATCCCCCAACTCTCAAGCCTGGCGGCCACCACCTCGTAGCACCAGGGGAGCCTCTCATCGGCCTTCCACCCCTCGACCAGGAACTTCTCAACGGCCTCGTCAGCAGCCCTCACAGCGGCGGCCCCGGCCTCAGCTTTCGCCTTAACGGCCTCCTCGCTCTTGCGCTTCTCGGCCTCAAGCGCCCTTTGGGACTCCTCGAGCTCCCTTTTGCTCTCCTCGAGCTTGGCCAAGGCATCGTCCCTGGCCGCGGCGGCTTCATCAGCTTTTGCCTGCAACGCCTTGGCATCCTCCCGGAGCCGATCAAGGCAAGCTACCGCCTCGTCGGCCAAGGCAGCCTTCTGCTCCAGCCCTTTCAAGCGAGCTATCTCCCAATACTGCCTCTTATGGCTTTCCATAAGCATGAAGGCACTCTGCAGAAGGAAAACAAAGGTCAGGCAAAAGACTCTACACAGACGAAGAGAGACAAAAACATAGGGACAGTAACTTACTTGGACGAAGAGGTCCATGCCGCCCTCGTAAATCTTCTCGTCCCCAAGCTTCTTCAAGTAAGCCCGGTCTTTGGCCGGCATGGCCTGGGCCAGGACGACGTGGCCAGGGACGAGATCATTAAACACGCCCCCACCGACGGGGTATTCTACCACCTTCTGGTAGTTGGCACCGGCAATCTCTTTGCCGGCCCTCTTCGTCCGTGGCTCCTGGACGAATGGCAGTGATGGAGCAGCATCACCAGCAGCAGTAAGGTCCACGACGGGGTCACCACCACCCACGCTGGGGACAGTCAGAGAACCGGCCTCAGTAGCCGGAGAAGGGGAAGGAGCCCTCTTCGTCTTCTTCGAGGCGCTCAGGCCGGGCTCGGTTAACTTTTTCTGGCCGTCAGTGGCCGGCCTTTTCTTCTTCGGAGCAGGATTTGGGGCCGCATCAGCAGTAGCCCCGCTCCCACCGGCCGCGGCACGTCTGGCCGCCTCGGCCGCCTTAGCAGCAATCTCCTCGGCCGCTTTGGCCTTGGCAATAGCCATCATGGAACGACGGTCCATGACAAAATCTACAAAGGAAAAACACAAACAGATTAGTAAGGCAAATGACAAAACATAAAGATAGAAAGCCGAAGAAAGAATTACCATCGGCCCCAGCAGGAATGCCCAAGTCCGGGCCGTCGGCCTCCTCGAAGGTGGTGGTCATCCTCGGCCAGAGTTGGAGGTCATCCTCCTTGTCACCATAGACATAGTACCTCACGAAGCCGAGGGCGGCCATCTTATATTTCGTGATGTAGTCCTTCACGCTCCTCGGCCCCCCTTCCAAGAAAGCCTCCACCTGAGCGTCCAAAATTGAGCTCTTCGGTGGGTCGTGCAGGTTAAACCTCCCGGTGTGGCCGAGGGAGGGAAACTCGGTGCCACTCTCACCAATGGACACAAACACGAACTTGCTCTTCCACCCATGAATGGACGTAGGCAAATCCGTGAAGCTCCTCTTCTTCGGCAACTGCTGAAGAGTAGCGTAGGCCGCACAGTTCTTATGGCTTCCTCGGCCGATCTGGTACAGATTCATGAATAGTGCCGTTGTCGGCTTGTAGCCCAACTCCTCGCACCGGAGCAAGAACCCTACCATCAAGGAGTAGCTGTTCGGCGTCAGCAAGGCCGGAGGAAGCCCGACCATGTCCAGGTACTCAGTAATGAAAGGGTGAAGGGGGAATCTCAACCCCTTAGCAAAGCTCATCGGGTATACTCCAAAGTATCCCGGTGGTGGCAGAAGAACATGGTCCGTCGGCCTGGGTGCCCTAACCCGCCCGAACGGCCCCACGTACATCTGGGCAACAAGATAGTCGGCCGCACTGCTCTCCGGCTTGATCAGGTAGATGTTGGTGAGATCTAGATAGGAGACGCCGGGCCCACTCTTCGGCCTCCTCACTCTCTTCGGCTTGGCGGCTCCCTTAACGGCGGACACCGGCCTCGAGCACGGAATGACAGCAGAAGTGGACGCCCCGTCCACCACTCGGGACGCACCTACGTCCTCACCCTTTGAAGAAGAGGCGGACTCCTCGTCCTCGCCTTCCTCGTCCATCAGCTCCCTGGATTTGTATGGACTTAAACGCTCTATCTCCTCTTCAAACTCCTCGAGCACCTCGTAATCAAGCGACCTCGTGGAGGGCTGGTCGTCGTAGGGGTAGTAGTCTTCGTTCAAGTTCTTCATTACTACTACTACGGGCTTAAGGAGAACAACTTAAGATCTAAGGGTGTTCAAACGCCTAACACAAGATCAACTACCTAGGAAGCAAAGTATGAAAAGTGAGGAAGATCGTGATGAACACTAACCTCGAACAACGAAGAACACGAAGAACAGGCTTGGGAGTTTATCTCTCTAGAAAATCGGCCAGCACTTCGACAAATTCAGAATGCAAATGTGATTCCTCGTCGGAGGGGAAGGGGTATTTATAGACCCCCACCCAACGGTCACTACACGTGGCACTCTCCCAATGGCCACATCAACGGCCACCAATGGGAGGCCACCACATCACCAACGGGCCAGGACCAATCCATATCAACGGCCAACCGGCAAATCAGACTCTACGGCCTGCACGTTCGCCGGCTTTACGAATGACAGCAAGCGTCCACTACGTCCCACTTGCTCGCCAAGACCACAACTGCCAAACAATAAAGAGACGGCAACGGCCAGGAAGGTAACGGCCACAAGATCAAAGGACCAAAGAGCCCAAAAGCCATCGGCTCCTCGTAATGACCCTTGATGATAACCCTCTACAAGCGATCTGCGCACAAGGGTTCTCCCACAGGGTTACCTTGGCCAGAAAATCGCCATGAGGGTTGGATTCAGGGGGACTACGGCGAGACCGCTTCGGTCGGGGACTCAAGCAACTCCTTCACCCTCACACTCTTCGGCCTGAAGCAGTGGGGGACTGGGGGACTACACCAGCCTCAACAAAACGAAAGAAAAATGCAAACAAGGTAACCACAAAGCATGGCCACATCATCCATACAGCACAACGGAACTTCATCGGCCAAAGGCCCATAACGTCACTAGCGACGGCCAACAAGCCACTAGAGGCAAGGACACTCATCGTCCTCCGCCAACAATTAGTCTTGACGGGCCCTTCGGCCAAGAACACGAAGGCCAACCAGCAACGGCCAAAAGGAGTGCGCGAACACCCTCATCGGCCACCCAAAGGAAAGGACGCCACCGTCCTCAAAGCAAGGAATAACTTCAGTGGCCTCGTCGGCCCAAACACAAACTTCAAACATTAGCGCCCAAGCAAAACGTGCCTTCAACGGCCACCATTGAAAGAAGGACACTCATCGTCCCAAAACAAATACATTAAGGAAACAACGGCCTCCCCGCCCACAGCGAGGAACAGGTAACGGCCAAAGCACAGGATAGGATCACCAAAGAGGAAACAACGCCAACGCCGCAACGGCTAACGGCCCGGGGATGCCCGCATCGGCCAAGGGCAACAAAGCACAGGAATCTACTCTCCTTCGCTTCGTCTACGTCTCAGCTTAGAGAGTGGGGGACTCCTGATGGAGTATATGGGTCTGAGCCCCAGGACCCACATACTCGGAAGAACAGAAAGCACAAGACAACAGAGTGGCGCCCTCGTCGGCCAGGACGCCCCCGTCGGCCGAAAAGGGGCCAACTCGGATTATGGTCCTGAGTCCAAGGAACCCGGGTGCCCTCGTCGGCCGTGCCCTCGTCGGCCACGCCCTCGTCGGCCAAGAAGACCTCCCAGAATCAGATTTTACACTTACTCATTTGTACAGCCCATTAGTGGCTTTGTATTCGGCCCAGTAGCGGTCCAGTTGTAAATGGGCCTCCCAAGCCCAAGGCTTGGGAGCCCAACCCTAATTTTCTCTATAAATACTCCCTTTGGGAGTAGTTATGGGGGTTACAAAATCATTCTTTTGAAGCATATTATTGCACTTCTCTCTCTAGCTCTCACTTCTCTCTAGATATACTCTATCACACCGTCATCGCCGTTCTCTTCCCTCCCGCCATGAACATGGCCGCAGCTTCTTCTTGCCTCTCAATGGATTCTTCCATCTCGGTGGTATCTGGCGCTTCCATTCCAACAGGTTCCAGTGGCGCACCTCTCTCCTTTGGTTCGCAGCCCAATTTGTCTGGTCAGCAGGTTTCCTATGGTGCGCAGGTTTCTTCATCTCCTTCGCAACCTCAATTTCATGGTGCGCAGGTCTCCTCTGTCTCTGCTTCGCCGACTCGCATTACTCTGCCAAATTACTCGCTCTTCCAGAATCTGCCGCCAGTGTTTTCATGGGCTGCTCCATCCCCGGTTCAACACCCCACTCTGGACCCGCCACCCTCTCTCTCTCTCTGCACCACCGGCAACTCAATTCTCGGGACACACGGTGGTTGGTTCTCCAGGGATTTTATCTTCTATTCCAACACCAAGGACTGCACTGCCACCGGCTTCTCCATTCTTTGGCCCATCGTTTGCTGGCTTCCCAGGTGTCATTCGGCCACGATATGATCCTTCTCCTCTTGGTTCTCCTATGGCAACCATGGCTCAAGTTGTGTCTCATGGGATTGCTAATGTTGGCCAGATTGTCACCATCAAACTCAAAGCGGTTGAAGACTATCTTACATGGTGCACTCAATTTGAATCGTTTCTGGTGTCCCAGGGTCTTTTTGATATTTTAGACGGGTCCATTCAGGTACCTCCCTTATACACAGTGGATTTTAATAATCATCAAATCGCTAATACTGATTATTATCATTGGCTTCGAGTAGATCAAACAATACGTTCTTGGTTGTTTGCTACTTTATCTCGTGAAGTATTAACTGATGTTCATGATATTAAACATTCACTTGGTATATGGGAGCAGTTACAATCATGATTTATGTCTGCCAGATTACCTAGAGCAATGGAACTTAAACGTTTATTGTCTAATACTAAAAAGAAACCTACTCAATCCATGGAGCATTATTTACGTGAACTTAAAACTTTGGCTGATGCTTTAGCTGCCATTAATTCGCGTGTGACTGATAAAGAATTACTACAAAGCACGCTCCTTGGATTAGGACCTGAATATCAGTTTGTTACGAGCACCATATCTTTGTTTCCTGAGAGCTTTCCCCCTGATATTCTCCACCCACGCCTCATGGAAGCTGAGCAGCACCTTTTACATCAACAGCAGCACGACGATTCCTTTCCTCAACAGGCTTTTGGTGCTCAAGTGGGGGCCGGGCAGCCGAGTCAGCAGAATGCTTACCGTGGCCGCGGAGGTCGCGGCAGAGGCGGACGAGGCCGCAGGGGTCGCGGCAGAGGGGGGCAACATCAACATCAGCTGTTTTATGCGCCACCAGCAGCTCCGACACCCTTCCATCTGCCAGGGCCGAGACCTGCAGGGGGTGTGCATACCCCGAGACCACCTAATGATACATCTGGTAAATCGGTTTTGTCCAATTTAAATATTAATGCTCATTATACTTCTGGTACTAATCGTCATTATGCATGTTTCCCATCCGCTAAGGGTATTCTTGGTTCTATTCCTTCTCCAGTTGTGTGTCAAATTTGTTTTTCTGCAGGTCACTCTGCGTTGCACTGTCCATCCCGTTTTTCACAGCCCTCTGCGCCTGCTTTGATTAACTTAAGCTAATAACTCCCAACCGCAATTGCAGCTTAGGCAAAAGTAAAAAGCTACGGAATTATTGCAACGCCGCGCACAAGAGCATAGTTGAAAAATTGTCTTGGGTTCCACCAATAAAAAATCATTCCTTATTTTTGAAATGCTACAACTTTTTTATGTGTGCTCCAATTGTTATAATAAATTTATCAAAAATTTTAATTTTTTATTATCTTTCATTTGACACTAACATTGCATATACAAACATAATTAAAAAATAGACACTTTAAACATCCGCCTATGTTTTTTAAAGAATTACTCCGTATAACTTTTTTTTGTAATCTGATTCTTACAAATAATATATAAAAATTATAATTTTTTATTATCTTTCATATGACACCAATACTGCATATATAAAAGTTGAAAAAATAATTTAACACTTTATAAAAACTTCTGGTTATAAAGTATTGCAACTTGTTTATTTATATTTTGTTTCTTACAAAAAAATATCCAAACACATAACTATTTATTACCTTTCATATGATACCAACATTACATATATAAAAATAAAAATAAAGTCTATTAAAATTTATTAATTTTTTTAAGAATATATATCAGACCAGATTTAAACAAATCTGACTAAATAGATCAAACATTTAACATAAACTTACTAGACTTGGATAAATGTTTGGTCTGATCTTTTTAAAAATCGTCTAGTAGATTATTAAACGAACCAAACATTGGCTTTATAGGAGAAAAGATGTTTACCATCATTTTCAAATCTATCACTTTTATTTGTTGTTTTATCCTTTGAGCTAGAATTTGTGTAGATTTGTTCTAAGCTGTCACTCCAACTCAATAGTGTGCCTGATAAAAATTGATTATATACCGCACAAAGTAATAGATTTTTTTATACATGCAATATTAGTATTGTATGAAACATAATAAGAAATTATAAATTTATATATAGTTCTTGTACCAATTGAAGTACAAAAAAATGTTATAACAATTTAAAAAACATAAATTTTTTAAACTGTAAAATTACTTTTCTATTTTTATATATGCAATATTAGTTTCATATGAAAGATAATAACAAATTATAAGTTTTGATACATTTTTTATAACAATCGGAGCACAAATAAAAAAGTTACATTACTTTAAAAAATATACTATCGCTTTTTTAAAGTGCCTATGTTTTTATTTTTATATATTCAATATTGATATCATATAAAATATAATAAAAAAATATAAATTTTGATATATTTTTTGAAACAATCAGAACACGGATAAAAAAGTTATAGGATTTGTGGGACCCAGGTTTCTTTTTCTCTTGTGCGCTGGTGTTACCACATTCAGAGTACTCCATATTTGATTTTGCCCAAGCCGCCAACTAGATCGGTCGTTTTATTAACTAGTGTTAATTGAGAATTACTTTGGGAAATAGTTCTAACCACACTCTAATTTGGTAAATATTTTTTAATTTAACATTATTCTAGGAAATTTTTTAATTTAACATTATCCTAGAAAAAAACTCCCACATTATAGTAATGAATAGTAATACTTATGTAAATATGTTTTATTTTAGTAATATTTTTGTAAAAAACCCAATGTAATTTCTAAATACATAAAATATGATTATTAAAATTCATATAATTACCAATAAAACATTACTTATTTACCTTTAATACTCCTTTCGATCTTAAATAAACTTCACACTTCTTCTCCCTTCCTTATTTGGCAAATTATCTACATCAAAACAGTACAAAACGGTGTCAAACAGTGTCATAAAAGTGTACAATACAGTAAAGTCAAATTTATTTTCTTAATTTATGTGATGTCAAAGTGTAAAATTTATTTATGACCAGACACGGATTTGGGTGGGAAATATATGCATACTACGTGTTATTCATTTGATGTACTCCTAATACTTGATGGATAAGTTTAGGCACGGATTAGTTGACTAGTATATATACACGAGTCCTAATTTAAGTTATAAATATACTCCAGAAAACGTATATATAGGTCCCAGAAAACGTATGAAACAGAAGTAGAATTTGATAAAAACATTATTAATAGATTAATGGAGTGGCTTTCATCAATTATTAGGCTCTTGCTGGGTTTCCAAGTTCCTCTTCTTGCTTCTCTCTGCTGTACTAATGAATTGGCCATGGCGGACACATCAACCACTAAATTCGTCGGCTGCCTCTCTGCTGCGCTCCCAAATGTTAGACTCTCTGATATTTTATATCAGAAAAACGATTCCAAATTCACATCCGTTTTTGATGATTACGTGAGGAATCTCCGGTACAACACCTCCAACATTCCCAAACCGGCGATCATCGTGACTCCGTTGACGGAAGCCCAAGTTCCGGCAGTGGTCGTGTGCGCTAAGGCTGCCGGAATTGAGATTAGAATCCGGAGCGGCGGACACGACTACGAGGGGGTCTCTTATGTCTCCCCCGCTCCGACGTTCATCATCCTCGACATGTTTAATCTCCGGTCGGTCGACGTCACCATTGAGAACGGCACGGGGTCGGCGTGGGTGCAAGCCGGAGCTATCCTCGGGGAGCTTTACTACGGGATCTACAAGAAGAGCCCGGTTCACGGATTCCCCGCCGGTGTCTGCCCAACCGTGGCCGTCGGCGGGCACTTCAGCGGCGCTGGGTACGGGAACATGCTCCGGCAGTACGGGGTGGCGGTGGACCACGTGGTGGACGCGCGTATAGTGAACGCGAGCGGGGCGATTCTGGACCGGAAAGGCATGGGGGAGGATTTGTTCTGGGCCATCCGCGGCGGCGGCGGCGCAAGCTTCGGGGTGATCCTGGCGTACAAAATCGAACTGGTTGCCGTCCCGGCGAAGGTGACGTATTTCCGAGTGGAGAAGACGGTGGAGCAGAACGGGACGGGGGTGGTGATGGACTTCCAGAAGGCGGTTACCACCATGGACAGCCGCCTCTTCGTCCGCCTCCTCTTGCAGCCGAAAACCGTCAATAAGAAGCGGGGCATCAAAACCGTCAAAATCACGGCCATCGCCCTGTTCCTGGGGAGCACCGGCGATCTGGTAAGCGTGGCGAAGCAGGAATTGCCGTCTCTGGGACTCAATTCAACGAACTGCGTGGAAATGAGCTGGATCGAGTCGGTTCTGGAATGGGCGAATTTCAACCACACAACCACCCGACCCGATAAGCTGCTGAGCAGAAACCCGGGCCAATTGAAGTTCGGGAAGAGGAAATCCGATTACGTGGTGGCGGCGAAGCCGATCCCCGAAGAGGGCCTGTTGAAGCTGTGGGATAAAATGAAGGAGGGAAAGGTAGGGATGGTGTTCAACTCCTACGGCGGAAACCTGGCGAAAATCGCAGCCGACGCGACGGCGTTCCCTCACCGCGCCGGGAATCTATACAAAATCCAATACTCCGTATCCTGGGAAAATGCAGGAGAGACGGAAGAGAATCTGAACCAGGCCAAGGCTTTGTACGAGTTCATGACCCAATACGTTAGCTCCGGACCAAGACAGGCGTACCTGAATTACAGAGATCTGGACATCGGCACCAACGAGAAGAACCAATCCAGTGTGTTCGGCCCCATGTACTTCCATAACAACTTTCAGAGGCTGGTTCAGATTAAGAAGAAGGTCGACCCTGATAATTTCTTCAGGTATGAACAGAGCATCCCGCTAACTTCCGCCTGAACGCCCGCCGTCACACCTTCTCCGATTATTTTACATTTCCACGTGCTTTTGTTTCTTTCATTCAGACATATCTCTACGTGTGACAGAACAGATGGATACCCGCACCAAATCGACCCGGTCAAAATGAGGAAAACCGCATTGACCGGGTAACGGGTATGGGACGGGGAATATCCATTTTGTTTTTACGGGTAATGAGGCGATTACGGTTTTATACATGTTCGCCCCATTACCTGCCCAATACCCGTCTCGTTTATTTGTAGTTATATTTTTATTATATTTTTATCTATTATTTGTCTCACAACTATTAAAATATTAGATTTTTTTCTTACTATTGTGTATATATAGATAATAGATGTCCTAACTATAATATAAATGAAAGTTCATAATAGATATTAATAGTCTTGTTTGATTATTATCATATTTTCTTCGTGATTAATTATTCTTTAGATTAAGTATTTTTAGGTTTAAATTAATTTAAGTTGCTTCCTTTCTTGCCTTGTAGATATACGAATGTTTAAAGTGTCATTTCAAGTGTAGAGTGGTCTAGACGATGTCATTCTTCGCCTTTTAAAATATTATTTTTTATATCAAAATTTAATGACTCAATTAATAAAGCGGTTACCCGTGGTTAGCCGAAATTTTACCCGTTACCCGTTGAGGCGGTTATGATTTAGGTAAAAATTACCCGTTGGATAATGGGACGGTTATGGGGCGGGGAAACTGCCCAACGGAGCGGTTACGGTTATATGTAAAATCGTCACCGATCTGTCCGTTGCCATCCCTATCTCTACACGTCATTAGTTTATTACGGAGTACTCCCTCATCCCTTATAACTTTGACAACTTTCCTTTTTTAGATGTCCCACTAATTTTGCCACTTTTCCCTTTAAGTAAAAAAATTGTGGTTCCAGTTCATTCTCTCTCCTCTGCACAAACCTCAACCACACAGTTTTTACTTTATTATTCCTCGTGCCGATCAAACTTGACAAAGTTATTAGGGACGGAGGGAGTAGTTTATTAGATAAAAGAAGAAAGTAAAAAAAAAACTGTATGGTTTAATTGGAAAAGAGTGTTCACAAGAGACAGCAAAGTTTGACATTTAGTTTTGGAGTTGACATGTGTAGTATTCATCAGACTTGGCCCTCATATGCATCGTGCAAGCATAGCGATAAAATCAATTATTAACTCGTTAAGAGATGTATCTTCCTATTTGAAAAGTATGTGAGATTAAGAACAGTGAAATAGTGTGTTGAAATGAAGGATAAATCCAAAAAAAGTAGTTGTAATAATGTATTATTTTTAAAAAAAAAATTATTAAGGGTATAATAGGAAGATTTAGAAATGAGAAGATATGAATGCTACAGCTAAAAAGGAAAGTAGGAAGATATGAGTGTTACGGAGGGAGTATTTTATTAGAGCATCTCCATTCATGATCTCTAATAATCAATTTTTTATATGATTCTTACCATTTAAATATTGTTATGTATTTAATTATAAAATAATCTCAAAATTCGTTTATGTCTCTCAATCATCATCTTCAAATAATCTGCTTTTTCTTTGTCCCGCATTTATCTCTATTACATATACTTTTCAAATAATCTTAAAATAATCCGGATTCATATTTTAATCCCAGATTATTGTAGCAAATAATCCTATTAAATAATCTATATCACTCATTGATAATTCTCTAAAAAAACTGCCATGTCACCAATTTAATCTTGTAATAATCCTCCCAATGAGGATGCCCTTAGACTCTACCTGTCAGCTTGTGATTAAGAATGTATTGATGATTTTGCTTGTTCTGCGTAGGAGTGTTCATTAACCGGGTCGGACCGTAATTAAGACCTGAACCGGACCGGATTAGACCGGACCGGACCGAACCGGTATTAACCGGTCCGGGTTTCGGTCTTTAGAATATTAAGATTCCGGGTTCCGGTCCGGTCCGGGTCAAACCCGGAAAAATACTGGTCCGGATCGGTGGCCCGTTAAATTATTTTTCCCAAAAAAATACTTTTCGTTTTTAGGGCTTGTAACCGGTGGCCCATTTATTTTACGAACTAAATTAGGAAAACCCAATATACGTTCATAGTATCTTTTTAAAGTTAATAGCAGTATGTTTTGTTTTTTGCAAAATTGTATTTTCATTATTTGATTTGCTATGATTTGAAACTACAATGTAGTTTGTTTTTTATGCAGTACCTTTTCTATAGGTGTGCAATATGGTCTATGGTTGTAGTTTATATATTTTTATGATATTCTCAAGTCTTTCTTAAGTTGCAACCTGCAAGAATTCAAGACTACAAATACAGTCTACTAGTTTGTAGCGTGCACTAGAGAAATAATAAACATTTAAATGCTAATATTGATATATGAATTAAACATTTACTACGCATATTTGCTCATCAGATTATAATTCGAAATAAAAATCTATGTTATTGTTTTTTGTTTAAAAAATTGGGTTAATTAGGGTCAAAACCGGACCGGACCGGAAAATTCCAGTCCGGGTCGGTCTGGACCGGTTAGTAATAAGTCCAGTCTTCGGTTCTCATAAATTTAAGATTCCGGTTTCGGTCCTAACCGGTTCTGGTCCGGTCCGGTCCGGTTTTGGACCGGTGAACACCCCTAGTTCTGCGAGTTCCGACTTAAGTAATATTTATTCTTTTTGTTTAGTACTTGTGTAATTTCGTTTGCCCGAATATGTAATTTGAATAACAGAAAAATGATTTTGGACTTTATTTTATGACCTTTATTAGATATTTTTATTATAATTCATATTTTAATTACGTATAGTTTACGATTTATCTCGTGTATAAGCCTAATATAGTATATCTCGCCCACATGCCCAAAAATGGGCAGAACCGGCCCTGAATAAGGTCTTCTACTATTACGAAATTATCACATAAATTCATGTACGAGAAATGGTTGTAAATAGGACTATAACTTATAATATATACTCAAATAGGACTTCAATAATATTTTTAACTCCTAAATAGGACTAAATTTTCCAAACGTTCCAAAATTACCCCTAATATCCCCTGTCACGATCACTCTTTCTCTTATCCTCCCTCTTCCGGACAAACTCACCCACACACTTCAGCCAAACCTTTGCCGAACAACGCACGCAACATAGAAAGCTGTTGAGTTTATTCGCCGCAGCCCGGAAGTTCAACAAACCCTTCCGGGAGGGTTTCGTGGCTATGTGGTGATAATAAAATGTAAACAATGATTTTAACGTGGAAACCCGAAAGGGAGAAAATCACGGGACTTTTTAGGCTAATGTCCTAGCCACTCTCATTCTCATTAAGCTCTCCTCACCATTTACATAGTACAAGTATGAAGCTTCCATTAATGGAAGTTGCTAGCTAGCTATTCTAGAGAGGAGGAGGAAGTGGGGAAGAAGAGACCAACCAAAAAGGGGATCCCCAAAAATGGAGGGAAAGCCCCATATTTATAGGCAAAAGGGGGGAGGGGAGCATTTCTACCCTAATGGGCCGAGAAGGTCAAAATGGGCCCGAAAGGCCAACCCAGGCCTAATAGGCTGAAACAGGCTTCGTCATTCGAGCTTCGTACTGGGGCAAGGTATTGGGCTCCTGAACAGTAACAGGCCGGGATAATATACCCCAACACAAGTCCCCCAGTTTCTTGAGTAGTGAGCGTGCGAATCTGCTCGAGAAAGTATATTCTTCCTCGCGCTCTTCCTTTGTCTTCCTTGGACTTGAGTCTTCGAGCATCCTACTGCATGGGTGGGTGTCTGCCCCTCTGAAGCCTGAACATAATATGCTGGTAAGGTGCTCCCCCTCCCGACTGGATCAGGCAAGGGACGCTCTCCCCTGAACCCTCTCCCCCTGACCGTATCAGGCGGGAGTAAAGGACTACAACCTGGGTTTGCTACCCGAGGACCTTAAGAGGCCGAAACCAAGTTGCCTCGAAAAATATGGGCAAGACAAAAACACAATGCATGTGTGTATGTATGAATGTATGAGATATGATATGAATGTATGAATGCGTGTAATGTATGAGTGTAATGGATGAGAGACGGTGTGTCAGGCGTGGTATACAGTGGCGGGCCCCATCCTAGGAAGGAATGGTGATCTCACACATGAACAAGACACGATGGCGCTGATGGGCCGATCGTGCTGTATAAGACGGTAGTCGCCATTTTTGAAGGAATGGACGTGCCGACCGTGAACTGGATACGATGGCGCTGAGGGGTCGATCGTGCTGCATAAGACGGTGGTCGCCATCTGGAAGGTATGGACGAGCCGACCGTGAACTGAACATGATGGCACTGAGGGGCTGATCGTACTACATAAGACGGTGGTCACCATCTTTGAAGGAATGGACGAGCGGACCGTGGACTGGACACGATGGCGCTGAGGGACCGATCGTGCTGCATAAGACGGTGGTCACCATCTGGAAGGTATGGATGAGCTGTCCATGAATTGGACACGATGGCGCTGAGGGGCCGATCGTGTTGCATAAGATAGTAGTCCTCATTTGCTCGTCGTACCCGCCCATTTGGCTCGGTCCTTGGTAAAGGTTTACTTTACCCATGTATTTCTAATTTTTCTATTCAAGGATACACTGACTCAGACTGGGCTGCTTGTATAGATACTAGGAGAAGTGTTTGAGGTTATGCTTTTTACCTTGGTAATTCCTTGATTTCATGGAAATCTAAAAAAACAACATGTTTTCAGTAGATCATCTACTGAAGCTGAGTACATGGCAGCTGCTAATGCAGTCTGTGAGGCTCAATGGTTATCCTACATTTTTAATGATTTACATATACCTATTTCTTTGCCTATAATTATTTTAACTGACAATAAATCTACTTATCATCTTGCTCATAATCCAATACAACATCATAGAACAAAACATATAGAATTGGATTGTCATTTAGTTAAAGCAAAGATTAACTCTGGATTAATTACTTTGCTTCATATTAAAAATGATTTTCAACTTGCAGATATTTGCAAAAAATCACTCGGAAATCCCTTGTTCAGTCAATTTGCAGTCACGATGAACATTCAAGACATTCATGCTCCTCTTGAGGGGGCGTATCAAGGATAATACACTGGACTGGGTTTGCTTCAACTTTGGGCCTATCTTTTATCTTTATTGGGCTTTTAGTTATTTTATAGCCTTTTATGTAATATGTATAAATACCTAAGATTGTTTGTAATTAGGTTATGCTTTATCCATTCAATCTTATTTCTTCTTCCGCATTCATCTTCCACAAACACTCTGTATCTTTGTTGATAAGAATTTGATCAATTTCTTGAGATAAATCATCACATGGTATCAGATTAGGATTCGATCCTCCGTCGTCCTACTGATATTGTTCCTCTTTGTCGATTTGATAAAAAAAATGGCCGATAAACCTGATAAGCTGAAAAATAGTGTTACCAAACAACCT